TAAGCTGTGGAGTCTTGTGAGCAAAATTTCTACTTTGTGAGCCACTGGCATTAAAGCTGTGAGCGAGTGATTTGGCTACTGCATCAGTTAGTTTGCCTCTGGAGCCCTCCTTCCTGAGTGAAGAGAAAAATATGTGAGCCAAAGGCTTAAAAGCTGTGAGCTAGCTCACACTAACTCAGGTTAGAGGGAACACTTCTGGTAACTGGAATGTGAATAGCTACATATTTTGTACTTCATCTATTACCAAACAGCTTTCCTTTTTGGCACTCTGGTACTAGGTCTTCACTGATGTGCTTGTTGTTGCTTTTCTCTCAACAAACCAGTTACTGAAAATAGATAAAATTGTGTTGAACTTCTATCCTTTTTACCTGACATGGGTAGTTTGCTTTTTTTCCCCTCACATGTGCCATCAGATAGGCTCGCCAGCTCTGAGTTGGCAATACCTTGGCCTCGGAGATTTTGGGGTGGAGCCTGAGTGGTGGGTTTAGATTCAGAGGAATTAGCTGTGTTAGTCTGTTGCTGCAAAATAGTCCAAGAGTTCAAATAGCACCTTTAAGACTAACAAATAGCACCTTTAAGACTAACCTTTAAGACTAAGACTAACTGAGTGGTGGGTGTGGCCTTATGACACACTTCCGGTAATGTCAGGGGGGTGGAATATGCTAATGAATTATGCTAATGAGTTCCCCTAGCTCTTTTTCTACGAAACGACCCCTGTCTACAGGTCCTACTCCATATACATAAAGAAGAATAATCTGCCTGGGGAAATTGTAATGAGATTCTCGAAGAGACTCGTGAGAGATTGCATCCTAAGAGCGACAGCAGGGACACCTTTGAAAATCGGGGACAGTACTATTCGGATTCTGAAAGACATTCCATTTGAAATAAGACAACGGAGAAAGAAATACAAAGATTTAATTATTTTTCTTCAAGTGAATGCAATCAGTTACAGGTGGTTATACCTAGAAGGCGTAACCTTTAAATTTCAGGGGAAAAAAGAAAAGATTGACTCTGTGTCCAAAGCACGGGACTTTTTGAGAATCCAGCTGGGTAAGCCAGAGGAGAGGGATAAAGAGGAAAAGGACAGTAAGTCCAGCGACGAGCTGGACTCAGGGTCTTCTGGACAGGACTGTCTGAGAAGGGGGCAGCAGCTCCTAAAAGTCCTTATAAACTGCGGAAGAGACAAGATAAGAAAAAATAAGGGTTGAAGGACTCTGAATGGTGCCTCTGATAAATATTGTTTTGTTCTTTTAATATGGGGATGCTGAGGAGTTCTTTCATAACAGTTAAAATTAAGACTTAAAAGTTATAAAAGCATGTCTGACCAAGTTCATCAAACGTAGCATTTTAAGAATTGGCATTGTCTGTAAGCTAATTTGAGGATTTCCTCTCTTGGGTTTTAGTTAGTAGTGATTATCTTTTCTTTCTCCCTTAAATGTAGTACCCCTCCTTTTTCCATTATAGTTTGTAGTCTATATAGAAAATGCAATTAAAAAATCCCCTTCGGGGGGCCAAAAAAGAAAGAAAGGAAAGGAAACATCTGCCAACCCCAATTCCCAACAGGCAATGGCCTTATCCACTTTCCTAGAACACGGGATGGGTGCCATACTGGGGAACAGTGCCCCTGAGTATCACTGTTTTAATGTATCATAAAAATCAAATGTGAAGAGAACAAATGATCCAAAAGAATATTGAAAATAGAAGTAGAAGTCATCCTATTTATTAATATTTTCAGTGAGCAAAGTAAGAAAGCTCCATCTGATTATTTTATCATAAAGGTTTCAGAATGCAGATTCAGTTTAGTAATATATTAAAAAATATGTTTTCTAAAAGTAATGTTCTAGAATAAGTTTCTCTCCAGGGCAGTGGAGAGCATAGTTTGGCTGCCAAATAGAATGAGAGACAGGTATATTCTGTGGAATATGTGCAACTGTATTCAATAATCATTTCTTTTTAAGGTATGCAGCCCCTCATGTACTCTGTTCAAGATGCATTAAATGGCCAACCCTGGTGGATTCGAGTAGGAACAGATATTTGTTACTACAAGTAAGCATATATTAATTGATAGAATCAGATTTTAAATTAGTGGGGTAGAAAAATATTTGATGGGAAATAAAAGTATTTAGTAGGCTCTTTTTTATAGTTTGTTAATTTGAAAGATTTTTATGCTCTTTAATGACTATCATGTTCAGGGAGGCAGTGTGTACATTTTGTAAATAAACAGATTTAGTAATTACTGTTTGAAAGCCAATTTAGTCAGTTAACCAATTGAAAGATACTGAGTCAGTTAATCATTGTTAATTTGTACTATAAGCAGGGGTCATTTGGGGCTGGAGTGCCACTCCAGCAGCCCAGGAGTGGGCACAAATGGCGGTGGCAGCAAGCCCCGCCTCCAGCTCCCCACCCCCAAGCTCCTTCTCTCTAGAGTCGCGCCACAGCAGCAGCACGACTCTTCGCTTCCCCCCCACTCCACCTTGGCAGGCCAGCTGGGGAAGCAAAAAAGGGAGGGAGGCATCTTCAAAAGCCTCCCATTCCCAGCCGGCCTGCCAAGGCGGGCTGGGGGGAAAGCAGTGGGGGATCGTGCAGTGGCGGCGCGATCTTTCCATTCTATTCTATGGCCCCTTTAAACCTCTTCTCTCTTCACTTCCCCCTCCCAGCCAGTCTGGGGAAGGGAAGGGGAGGCTTTTGAAGATGCCTCCCCCCTTTTGCTTCCCCTTCTGACATCACATCCGGTGATGGCAGGGTGTGTGGCATATGCTAATTAACTATTATGCTAATAGCCTCTTAGGTATGCTAATGAGCTCCTGCAGCTCTTTTTCTACGAAATGACCCTTGACTAGAAGTAATATTTAAGCAAGTCTTTTGTTTCTTCAATCCATAGGACCAGGTGACACTAATGTGTACTTTCTATTTTAAGCTAACGTTAATATTTTGTTCTTAGGAATCATTTTTCTAGAAGCTCAGCTGCTGCTGGAGGTCAGAAGGGAAAATCCTACTATACAACTACCTTCACTGTTAGCTTCCCACACAAGGAAGATGTTTGCTACTTCGCTTACCATTATCCATATACTTATTCAACTTTAATGGTGAGCTCACTTGAACTTGGATACATGCAGAATTTGTGTTAATATATGTGATTTCATTACACACTTTTATGGATCTGAAGTGTATGTGTATGATAATTTTACAGTGATCCTAAATACTAAAACACATTCTGTTTAAGAACAAACTGAGATACTTGTAATGTTGAGGAAAATAGCTAATTCTATACAAGTCATGCCCTTGTACAAGATTGGCATGAAGTTCAATATTACCGTGTAATTGATCTAAGAAATGCATAAATATTATTTACTCCCTTTTTACTTCAGTGGCTGTTTTACAATCTATATCCAAGCTTCTTCAGGATTACAAAAGAATAGTTCTTATATATACATTTTATGTCAACATTGTTATTTCAAAATAGTGTGCTGATGTAGTTTCATCATTTTGACCCTAGTCTTGCTGAAATAGGTCCTTTAAGAAATTAATTCTTGGTAACTATTAAAATACTCATCTGGGAAAAACATGCTTCACGGAGTAATTCTGCTGTGCTTACTGTTCCATTTTTTAAGTCCTAGAGACTTTGATGGGACAGTCATTGCACAGGCATATCACAACACTGGAGAAGACCAACTCAGCACAAATAAATGCTTTTCTGTCCTTGTTCCATGTTGATTGTCAGAGGAAATGCCTGTTGCTCTGCTATATTGCAGATGCTTATACTGCACTACTAGCTGGTTTTCATTCTGTCTTGATTCATGGAGCACAAAGAAGAAGAGTAGGTTTTTATACCCTGCTTTTCTCTACCCTAAGGAGTCTCAAAGTGACTTACAATTGCCTTCCCTTCCTCTCCCCACAATAGGCACCGTGTGAGGTAGGTGTCTGAGAGAGTTCTGAGAGAACTGTGACTGGTCCAAGGTCACCCATTAGCCTTCATGTGAGTGGAGAATCAAACCCAGTTCTCCAGATTAGATTCCACCAGTCTTAACTGCTACACCACACTGGCACTAAGGTTTTTGGCAGTGAGCAAACAGCTCCTACACAACTTCAGTGAGCCAGTGATTCAGCAAATAACCCCTCTTTTCAAGGCTTCTAGATTTCCTATGGCCTTAGATGGAAGAATTTTAGCAGATACAGTTATTTCATTTACAGTGCTGCAGTAATGGCAAAAACTGCACTAAGATTTTCATTTTTGCCATTAAAAGGGCAAGATCTCTTGAAGGGGGAATTTGACCTTTTCTATGGTTCTTTATGATATTCCTATTCACAGAAAGGTATAGACAGCTAGTCTGATAAAGCGAATATTCAATTTTACTTGCAAAGGCAGGATAGGACAGACCCCATCCCAAGGCCTAAGAGATGGGACTGTAGTTTGTAATAAACATCCTATGACTCAATACAATTAAAATGCAGTGTAGCTACAGCAGTTGGAAAATGATTTTGCCTTATGGGCCCATTCATTGCCAGGATTTGGGCAAAGCTGCTTCAGTGCTTCAGCATGTTCTGGGTCTTACAGTTAACATCTCAGATTCACATTCCACATTTCTTTGACCACAGATTGCTTAATATGCTTAACCTCCCAGCTGTTTCACACTTGTACTGCTATAATAGCTAATTTTCTCTTTCTGTAAGAGGAGTATGAAAATAGTTTGGCCAGGTGCTGTTATTTTCAGGCTAACTAGAGATGTCTTTAAAGTGTTTTTTGCTGTATTTTTAAAAGCTTTATCTCTAATGAAAGAAAAGTGGTAAAACAGAAAAATATTAAAAGCTATCCTATACAAAAGCTATATTAGACTAAGTCAGTTTAATAACACTTAATAGCTTAATAACTACATGAGGTTTTTGAAATTTGTTCAAAATTGTTATTATTTAGAAAGCACCTAAAATTGTGGCAAATAAAGGGGCCTTTCTCAGAAGCTTACAGTATGTTTGTTTTATAAAGATGCACCTTCAAAAATTGGAATCTACATACAATCCTCAGCAGATATATTTCCGACACGATGTTTTGTGTGAGACCCTTTCTGGAAACAACTGTCCTTTACTCACTATAACAGCCATGCCAGAATCAAATTACTATGAACATATCTGTCAGTTCAGTAAGTACAATAATTGTTTCCTATTCACTGAGATCTGTTTGAAGCTATTTTAATACACAACTGGTAAACTTTACTCTCCTTGAGTTTGTAAGTTGTTTATATAATCTCATAATCAATTCCAACATTAAGTTTCAAAATCTCATTAATTTCATTGAGTGCTAGGTAGCTGTTTAAGGGACTCACTGATGGAGAAATTAAAAATACTGATTTCACAGGCTTTCTTCCAAAAAGACAAATAAAGAAAAACTTAAGAACCATTGTAAATATTATAGAATATTATGAACAACATCCAGGAAACAAATTAGCTGTTGTGTTTTTGGATGCGGAAAAAGCCTTTGATAATGTTAACTGGGACTTTCTAAAATACAAACTGGAAATATGGGAATGTGGCCAAAATTTTACAAAAATGATATATGAAATATACAAAGAACAATGGGCCAAAATAATTCTAAATGGAGAGTTAACACAAAGTATACCTATTGAAAAAGGGACTCGACAAGGATGTCCACTCTCTCCATTACTATTTATCTTTGGGATAGAAATGCTGAACGATTTGGTGAGAGACAATATGGAAATTACAGGTCTTAAAGTTAAAGGAGAGCATTTTAAACTACAAGCCTTCGCTGACGATCTTGTATTTATTTTGGAGGACCCGACGAAAGCTATACTACCCTTACTAAAGGTAATACAAAACTATGGAGCAATAGCGGGACTCAAAATAAATATTTTTTTAAAATCTTGACAAAAATTGTACTAAAGAAGACATAACCAAAATTCAAATGATTTCAAAAATAGAAGTAGTAAAAAAGTTAAATATTTAGGTATTAATATATCAAATAAGAACAACAATTTATATGAAAATAATTACAAAGTATTACTAGAAAAGCTAAAGAATGATTTACAAAAGTGGCATGATCTGCACATATCATTTATGGGCAGAATTGCAACTATTAAAATGAATATACTTCCGCGAATATTATTCTTAGTGCAATGCATACCCATATTGAAAAATAAATTTTTTTTTGATGAATTAAACAAGCAAGTTAGAAAATTTATTTGGCAATCAAAAAGATCAAGGGTGAAATGGAAGCTACTTCGAGAGAGAAAAAACAGAGGAGGACCCGGAATACCAGATTGGTATCTCTATTATCAAGCAGCGGCTATGAGTTGGGTGAGAGAATGGATTTTGTTGGAAGAAGAGATTATTAAAACTGGAAGGACATGATCTATACATGGGCTGGCATGCCTACGTATGGTATGATAAAGATAAAACACAAAAGAATTTTAATAATCACATAATAAGAGGGGCATTAATGAAGATATGGAAAAAATTTAAAGAAAGATTTTATGCTAAAATACCAAAATGGGTCTCCCCACTAGAGGCTTTTATAATGCCGACATTAATAACAGATAACAAAAAGATAACATACGACGTGCTCTTAAATGAAAACAACGAATTAAAGCCCTTTGAGACACTGCAATCAAGGCATATTAATCTCACCAATTGGGAAAAAGTACAGTTACAATCAAGATATATCAAGGATTAAAAAAACTTTGTGAAAACAAAACTAGCAATAGATAAAATATGGCTTTCATCAGCAGATAAACTGATTCAGAAATTATATAATTTTTTACTGGAAGACGAGATGCAAGAAGAAGTACTAAAACCATCCATGGTAACATGGATGAAAGATATAGGACATAATATAACAATAGATGACTGGGCAAAAACATGGAATTCTATTAAACTATTAAGATCCACATCATATAAGGAAAATATATTTAAAATGCTATATAGATGGCACTGGACCCCTGACAAACTGTCCAAATGTTATAAAAATGTTTCTGGAAATTGTTGGAGATATAGAAATAATATAGGAACGTATTATCATATATGGTGGCGCTGCGAGAAGATTCAAAAATTTTGGAAAATTATTAAACAACTAATAAAAGAAATCATGGTGGTAGAGTTGCCACTCTTACCGGAAATATACCTGCTTAATATAATAACAGATAGAATTAAGTATAACGAACTATGTATTATATTATATATTCTCACAGTAGCTAGAATTCTTGTTGTGAAATGCTGGAAAACAGATAGAATACCATGTAGAGAAGAAATAGTTACAAAGATCCTAGAAATAGCAGAAATGGACGTTGAATATGATGCTATCAGGAAAAGATGAAACTAAGTTTCAAAAAAATGGCAAAAAGTCAATAAATGGATAGGAAAAAATGTTTAATGAAACCTCCACAAAGTGATTATTTTGTATTAGGCATTGTCTTTTGTTCTTTTTTTGTATGGAAAACGTGAATAAATAAACTTTTTTTAAAAAAAATACTGATTTCTGCCTGGATAGTGCCCAGTGAATATTAAGATGTTGATAAATGTCTGGTTGTATGTTCCATACATTGCCTTAATATATATAAAAATGCTGCCAGCAGTTACCTGAATTGCTTAAAATGTATTTCATATTTTTAATTCATATTTTGAATCATATTTTGAATCCATATTTTGAATAATGTTTTAGGGATTCATAGTACTTCGCTTTTAAGTTCCTTCAGACAGTGACCAATTGGTTGTATCATTCTTCTTTATGTTGTTTTTAGGAAACCGTCCTTTTATATTCTTATCTGCTCGTGTACATCCTGGAGAAACTAATGCAAGCTGGGTTATGAAGGGAACACTGGAATATCTCATGGGTAATAATCCCACTGCCCAGGCATTACGAGAATCTTATATTTTTAAAATTGTTCCAATGCTTAACCCAGATGGGGTCATCAATGGAAAGTAAGTTGTTAAAAGGTTTTAGCTGCATTTAGAAACTGAGTTAAGGAAAATGCTTCTCAGGCAGTTCCAGACTGACATTCCCCCATTCCTTGGGGGGAGGAATGAACCCTTGCATTATGCCGCAGGACATACTGATCATTCTTTGGGGTTTTCCATCAGAATCTTCACCAACAATCATGCTAGTGTATCAAAACAACCACAACCACAACCAAACATACAAGTCTTCATTATGTAAGCCTATGCACTTTTGAAGGGTCAAGATTAGGAGTGTGCATTCAGCTGTAGCTGAACCAAAAAAATACCCGAAAAATACCTTGTCGATATTTTTTGGATATCACATAAGCCGAATACAGATCAGTTCTGTATTCAGCTACTGGTATAACTGAACCCGAAAAAGCCAATATTATCTGGCTTTTTTGGGGGGGGGGTCATTTTGCTATACTGAAAAAGGTCTCATTAAACCTAACAGCTGCCTCAGACGCCAGTCAGCTGTTGGGTTTAAATGCCTTTCTATCCCTCCCCGATCTCGGGGAGGGAAAGAAAAGCATTGTAAACATGCCTGTTTCCCTTCTTAATCTTATTCAGGCACCCCGCGGCTGCAGGGCACCTGAAGAAGATCGGGAAGGGAAGCAGGCATGTTTCCATGGCTGTTCTCGGTCTCCCCAGCCAGCCCACCAAGGCGCACAGGTTGGGAAGACAGTGGGCAGACAGGCAAATATGCCCCGTTCCTTCCCTGAGCCTATTGTGGAGAAGCCCGGGGAAGGGGGGGCATGTTTAAGTGCCTTTCTTTCATCCCTAATTTCTTTAGCTTTCCTTTTTCAAGCCTACTGGCTAACAATTTACCAGCCTTGTTTCCCATGTCAAAATATTGCTGTGTGTGTAGATAACATTTGCAGAGCGGGGTGTGTGTATCTGTATAACATCTCTAACCTGCCTTTTTCAAGTTGAAATGCCTGGAAAATAGTCCCATTATGGTTTTCCATATGGTATCTTTCTGCCCCTTTGAGTTTTTAAAAAACAATTATTTCTCTCTTGATTTTTTATTTTATTAACATAATGAGCCATGTTAATAATTGTACCTCCTAAATAAGCCATAGTGGCTTCTTACACTAAGTGAGCTGAATATCAGTTGTGTTTGTTGTTCAGCTTTCACCCTGTTAGTTTGATACTTATTTGACATGGATGTCAGTGGGGACTGGTGAATGTTCTGCATAGATATTTGTATTCAAATTTTAGATACTAAGAACATGTCAGCTCTGGAATATTCATATGCCTTAGGAAAATGTCTAGTCATTTTCATATCTACACTGCTCTGTTCATATATCCAATAGTGGACTTGTGGGGTTCACCTCACTTTCCCCTGTATCCTCCTCCTTCCCCTGTATCCTCCTCCTCACACTATTTCCTGTTACCCTCCCTCTGGCAATGCCAGTTGTCTCACTTTTCCTGCTTCCTTTGTCCATTCCACCCACAACCAACCTTTCATCTGCCCCCCATCCTCAGCTATATTTGTTATTTATTTAATTCATTTTCCTTTTTCCACAATGGAAACCCAAAAGCAGCCTTGATGCCTTTCCTTTCCTTCATTTCTATCCTCACAACAACCCTGTGAGGTAGGCTTTTATTTACATTGTTCATAGTCTGCCTTTCTCACTTGGTCTCAAGGTGGATTAGGCTTGAGAGTATGTGACTGGCCCAAGTTCATCCATGAGCACTAGGGCAAAGTGGGAATTTGAACTTGGGTGTCTCAGATCCTAGTTTGAAATGCTAACCACCACACCGCAGGCTTTCATGTGGTGGCTGCCACTGAATAGTGGCAAGTAGCCAGAACTGTCAGCAGTTGCTGCTGAGCTGGCTGCCCACTCTCCCTGCCTTTTATTGTCAGAAACTAAGGCTTGAAGGCTTACAATGTTGTTGTGGTTGCCTAGCAACCCCCTCAATGACCACTGGAGCTAAAACAATATTTTAAATACCCTTTGCCTAATAAAATGTAGAGGGACCTCTTCATAGTACAAAATAAGCTGTTGCATACATTTATTTGGGGAGAAAAGACTTTTTCTTTAGGATGATGAAATCTCATTAAGATTATGTTTTTCCTGTAGCCATCGCTGTTCTTTAAGTGGGGAGGACTTGAATAGACAATGGCAAAACCCAAACCCAGATCTGCATCCTGCAATTTATCATGCCAAGGGTCTCCTCCAGTACCTGTCTGCTATAAAGCGTTTGCCACTGGTAAGTTTGTGTATGTGTACCCAGTTTAGTTCACTGAAAGTCATTCTATTGTTGTATGAAAATGCCGCTCCTTGCATTTTGTAAAACTACATGTGAACTTGCAGGGTCGGCCCCAATTTATTTGCACCCTAGGCAAGAATCCCTCCTGGTGCACCCCCCCCCCATGTGCCCACCAATTAAAAAAAATAAATGCATTTTAGGAAAAACAAGACGGGGACCCGCGATACTCGCGGGGGGAGAAGAGCTCCGTCTCCTCCTTCCCCCCCCCGCTCGATGTCCCGAGGAGGCGGCAGCAGCAGCGAGGCCGGTCCTCCCCCCCGCCCGCCCGCCCTGCCTACCTGCCGGCTCCAATGAGGAGGCGGTGGCGGCGAGCC